TCATTTTAAATTCAGAAGTTTGTTTGAGACTAAATTTAAACGTTTATTAATCTTTCTTTTAGATCAGGAGAACGTGAAATTTAAAAATTGAAGGGAGGACAAATTAGCTACAAATTTTTACTGCCTTCAAAGCCGCCCAACTGGGAAAGTGGTTAGTGACTCTGACTACCGTACCGAAAAGGCGGTTCGAATCCTGAAGAATCCGGGATGTTTGTATATGTATTGTGTCCGTGCGGCATGGGAGCACTCTAAGTATGCGGCTAGCCGAAAGTTCTCTCGAGAGGTTTCTGGTAAGGAAAGAGGGATGGAGACCCTTGGACCAGTTCCCCCACTGTGCTCTCCATCAAATTTGGAGGGCGGAACTGAGCTGAATTGCTATGTTGTGCACACCTTCTTCCACAGCCAATCCTGACGCTCTTGACCACTTGCCACCCCTCCGGCCGAAAGACCATCAATTTCTGCCTACACGTCGTTCATTTCAACTACGGATTCCAAATCTACGGAAACCAAAGCCATCTGCGGCGTCTCGTCACTCTTCAATACCAACGCCATAATTGCCATAATTGCTATTTTCCTGCCATGTTGAATCTACTACCACATTCGGCGCTTACCTTCGAATTGCATCTCACATCCTTAGGAACTCCATCTCACAACTTTATGAACTTTGATAAACTGGGACATTCCCGCCTCGGTTTTTATCTATGCTGTAAGGAAACGATGTGTTATTCTTCAACGTGTTTATCCCAGGATGAAGCTTTCATAGCCTATGTACTTGCATCAGTGTAAATTAATACACCAGCGAAGGGGCAGGACTTAGCAAAGTCGCACTGTCACTTATATGGTGCTCAAGGCCCTTGCCAACGACAAGCGAAATCTTGCACTCCTTGCCAGGATGAATTTCGTGGCCTTGTTCTGATGTCTGTATAGTTTTCTGATGTTGTATGTTGTTCTGATGTTCTGATGTTTGACAAGTGACATAAGCCGCAACAACAACCTTCAAACAGTAATTTTACGAACGCGGTTATTATAATTACACTGCAGATTTGAAAAACTAAGCTTATTTTATGTGTATGAGCATTCGAATCGTGTTTCTTATATACATCATGAATGAACATATACAGTTTTCTAATCACACTTTTATTTCAGATTAGAGACCCAAGTAGCACGGCAACGTCGTAACGACGTTGCAAACTGGTCGCGAGTCGTGCTGCAAAAACCTTGCAATTGTATCGTTTTTAAGACACCCAGATGTCCGCGAAACTCCATTGTTTTGCAACCGTTGCAAAGACGTCTTACGTGTTGCAACGGTTGAGTCTTTCGCAGGTGATATTTTGGTTGTCAAAGCATCGTATCACGACGTCCTAACGACGCCTAAATGTTAACGACGCCAAAATTGCACCCCCCCTTTTTTTTTTTTTTTTTTTTGCAACAGTTGTGAAAATGTCATTATGTCCTTGTGTTACATATAAATTCATTCAGAAATATAAGCTTAATAATTAATGTACTTTTCTTCTTTTCTTAAATTTTGTATTCCTTGTATTTTTCTAAAGTTTAAATATTTTATCATTTCCTGAAAACCAGAAGATAATACAATTTTTTCTCTTTACAATAAATATGCATAGTTAATAATAGCCTTAAATATTTTCAGTACTTTAAATTATATTTTTTTGAAATAACTTAAATTCCAAGTTATGATTATTTAAGATTTCATCTTTTTTTTTCTTAATCCTTTAGTATGTAAGTGAGAATAATTATGAAAGTGGTTATTATAAATGAATAACATTAATAGCGGGTTTTAAGTAAATAAAACTCAATCAGACATAAATAAAAGTAAAGATATATATGTGGGTAAAAAAAAGGAGCGTTTCTGATTATAAGAGCATTATCACATTTATTTCTGTTAAATCTCAGAGACGTTGAAAATTGCCCCTGTCATAATTTAGGAAGCAGTTCTTAAGGTAGCAATTCAGTATTTTACCTGAATTCAAGTATAAATTTATTCGCATTTTATAGTAAAATATATAACAATTAACTTCTATATCTCCAAGATATGAAAATGAAAGACTGTATAAAGTAGTTAATAAATGTGATCAAAAATATTTCATACAAAATTATACATAATCTAATAACGTCCCATATTCATATCTAAAATGAAATAATAACCTAACAAAAAACATACATGACAGCACTATTTAAGAAAAAACATGAACTAGTAATGTTTGAAAGTATAAATATCAGAAGAAAGGTAACAGAACTAAAATTTCCAATTAAGGAAAAATTATTTGTGTTTTTTAAAGAGTAAGCAATTAAGAGTTGCAATAATTATGGATTGCAGTATTTACTAGTAATACTGACGTTTCTTATCACCATTTCTTTTGATCATATGTTAATGTATTTACTTATTTTTAGTTTCTACATTTTAGAATAGTGGTGGATTGCAATGATTATTTCATGCACTTTTTATAATCAATAACATTCCTTTTGTTACTGTACAGAAATAATTTAAATAATATAGTATACTATAGTAAGCTAAGTACGTTAAAGTAAGCTCTTTGTTAAATACCCCACGAAGAAACTTTTTGTTTCTATTTATTATGAATTTCTTTGTTATCACAAGCACATAAAAGGTAAGCGAAGAAAATAGAATATACTTAAATTTAATAAAAATAAAACCTAATTTCCAGCATTCATTTATTGTAATAATATAATAAACATACATAACGGCAATAGAATATACTTAAATTTAATAAAAAATAAAACCTGATTTCCAACATTCATTTATTGAGATAATCTAATTAACATACATAACAGCAATCTTTAAAAAACGCGAATTACACAGTCTTTGGAAGAATAGATACCAAACGAAAAGTAATAAAACTGCAATTTGCAATCAATACAAAATATTTAGTGTTTTTTAATATTAACAATTAAATATCAATATCACATAATTAAATTAAATTAAATATCACATAATTATAGATTACAATATTTCATAGAAATGCTAATGTTTCCTTAACACTATTTTTTTCCATCATACATTTCATACACTGTTTAAAATCATTAACCGTTTCTGCATACTATATAAAAGACAATATACTATAGAATGTGCATTATTATTAATTTTAATCTATTGCTTCTTACTATTACATATATCTAATTCATCTTCAGCAGTTACATTAAGTACTGGAACCAGTCCAATAATTTCTTTGTATTTTGAAAATAATGAACATACCATAACAGTTTGCAACGTCTTTTGGAACGTCGTGTGCTACTTGGGGAGTTATTCATTACTTTTTTCTCCAATACCTCGGTAAATAAAAGCATGGGAGATGCTGGCAAACTTCCTTCGCGGTTGGTCCTTCAAAGCTGCTGTTAGACAGGACAATAGTTTCTATCAACATGTCTTCGACCGCAATTTTTCGAAGAATCATTGCTTCCACGAGTTTTATACAGGGTGACCTCATTGCAAAACTTGTAGGTTTTATTTAATTTGCATGACAAATTTATTTTAAGTTTTCCTGTTCTCAACTTCTCAAACTTCCCCTCACATTCTCTCGCCATGATGTAAATTTAAAGTTAAGTGAAGCGCTATTTAAACGTGTGATCATCTCAGTTTATTCAGAGCGTGTTTCGCTAGCCTAGCGCACATTTCGTTGTTATTTCGCCGTCACTCGAGTAAGCCTTTTGGCCTTATCCGTTTAGTATCACGCCGGTTAGATTTCTGCGAGTCCATCTCTAGAAGTAATTTTGAAGTGCGTTCTTGCACTCATTTATTTTTCAAATTTGATTTGTATTCTCGTCTAGGTTTAAGTTATCGCCGCAAGTGAACGGTGTTTTTCTAACGCACGAAGTCTGTGCTGTCTGTTATTTTAGTTTGAGTTAATAAAGGGATATTTTGCCCCCTTCTTCTGTGCTGGTATTTATTTCACGCCTGTGCAAGAATTCGCCAGGTTCATTGTAGGATCTAAGTCGGTGTATGTGGAAAAGTAGAGATAGATCTTACAAACTATCCATTGCGACTGCAAGCGTGCGCGAAATGCCTGCAATTTTTCAGTATTCGCTGATCTCTTCTTTGACGCCACCAAACATGTATTACTCTTGGTTGTCGCAATTTTGAACGTTTCTTGTGAATACTGTATTGCTGCAAAGAAGCACTTTTTGCTTTGATTTTGTAAATAAAAGCCCTTTTCCTCCTGTGTCAGTTGTTTGCATTCGCGCCTTAACTAGACCCTACATTCCTATAAAAAAAACACGTTTTAGCCCCTTTCAAATTCAAAAGCCCCTTCAAATTTGTTCCATGATCATAGAATCACCTTGTATAATTATATAGTTAGTTTCCGTGGTACCTCTTTCGTTCTGATTGGTTGATCTGCATGAAACACAGTGTTGAAACAAACTTTTTGTCTTCATACTAAAATTATTGCGCTTAAAATCCTGGCTTCATTTGGGACAATGCATTTCTAGAAAAAAATGCCCGTTTTTTTTTCGGGTAAGTAAATGTGATATGGCTTGGAAATCAAGCTATTTCTCTGGCTGCCCATGCAGTCAGCCAGTCTTTTCAGAAACAGAACCATGGACATATCTACCAGTGTTTTACTGTTTTGTGGATCTTATGGGATCTTGTGGAGAATAAAAGCATTTTATATCATGTTTTTGTGTAAACTAATGATACTATATTCTGTCGTCGCCATTACGTGTTAAGTTGCACATAATATAATACTTCATATTATTAAATACGAATAAAGAAAAAAATAACACATAAAATGAGCAGAATGAAAATGCGATTCTAATTTAATCATTTTTTATGATATCCTCAAATTTTCTTCAGACTCACTCTACTCAAATAAGCATTAATGAGTATGAAACTCGGATCACATATTTAACGTTTTTTCCAAAACTCCGGGCATTTTTCTAATAGTTTTCTAAAATGCATTATTTAAATTATATTTGATACTTGTTCTAAGTGATATGACCACGATAAAATCGTGCTGACAACTTACCGACAGTCGCCCTTGATTTTTCAAGCTCTGCTAAAATTCGGTTGTCTTGTTCAATGCGCGCTAATAGTCTATTAATTTCTGTGTTGGTTGTTTTCATGGGAGCAGAGGGATCGACTTTGGATTGGCTAGAGTTGGATACAGAACCATCTATATCCAGAGGCAAGGCAATCTCTGATATTATGGGACCTTTAAAAATTGTTTGACAAAGGAAAATCATTCTTTAGACTTTAAAGTTTATTCAAGCTAACACTGCAAAACACAAAACCATAGATATGAAAATTTCAGGGAATGATAAAGGAATTAGTATCTACTCTAGCTGTTTTACACGTTTTTAATACAAAAACTTTCATCTGAACTCTTAATATAAAGACTTACTATAATACTTAAAATCTTGATAAACTAATTTAAAATTACTATTTAATGTTTTGAACTTTAAGAAAGTCATTTAAATTTAGAAGACTGTCAGGATTCATATTAAAATGAAGACAGGAAAACCTTAACCTCAATTGCAACGAATTTTGGTACTTAAAGGTAGTGCTTAGGGTATTAATTATCCATTTCTTAAGATGTTACAGTAATGTTACAGTTATTATCTACAATTAACATTGAATTAAATTAACATTCTATACGAGATTTATTATTATTCTAAATAAAAAACACAATCGGAGTTATATGAGAAAGAAGAAATAACCTATTATATTATTTTATTTGTTTAGAAATAACGAGAAATATTTCTCTTAAATGAAATTATACTACACATAAATATGCTCAAACTATGTCCATTTTCGAATTATTGCTGTTTAGTTAAAGTTAATATTTTCATAATTAAGCAGATTTTGAAGTTTTTCTTAAAATTTATCGAATTTTTAAATTTGATTTGGGCGTTTGCAGTTTTATATATCAAGTGAAAATTTAAAAGCATAAAATATAGAAAATATTAAGTGAAATACAGAAAATATTTTTAAAGTATAAAATTAGGAAATAAGCAAATAAGCAAAATAGCATCCTTATTTAAAACAAAATGCAAAGCTAAAATATGAGGTTACAGTTTTATTTTCCTGTATACCTAAATGAATTTCTAATCTGAATTAATAAATGTATAATGTGTGAAATATATTTTATCTTCAGAAAATTAACCTAAATTAAAGTGATAAGAGCCAAAGAGAAGCAGCCATTCATGCAAAGTATTGCTAAATTTAAGTATTTATTTTTGACAAAAGATGGGTAAATTTCAGCAGTTGTTTGGTTATGAATTAATTTTGGGTAGATAATTTCTTCCTTATGAATTACTTTAAGCGTACTTGTTCGCAGAAGGGGAAGAATAAAAAACTCAAATCATTTGAGTTTGGAAATTACTATAAAATAATATACAGTTAACCCTCGTTTTTATGACTGGTCAGTTTGCGGTTATTCAGATTTGCACCTTTTTGAAATTAAGCGAAAACAGGAAAAATTTATTTGACAAATCAAAAATACGGAAAGATGAATACGAACATTGTTAATTTTATTTAACAAATCAAAAATACGGAAAGATAGAATAAAGAAGCTTAAGGTAATGAAATGCATCAAGATAATGAAAACTATAAGCTTAGAAATTTTCTTGCATGTATTCTGCTTGAAGAGTTTGTTATAAATGGCAATGCATGGAGATGAAGAAGCTTTGCGAGGAATTTAAATGAAGCATTAGTTCTATTTTATTAAATATCAAGGAAAAGAAAAGAAATGCACTTCAAGACGGTCTTGATTTTTTCTTTGGAAAGGCAGGCAGTTTTTCATGAAATACTGCATTTTTTGTATTAAGCCAGAAGACCCCCACACAGCCAAACATTACTACCCGGCCTCTTCATTACTGGAGGAACTTAATCCAGGTATATTCAGGCGCTAGTATAGCTGTATCTAGCGCCCTTGCTAGATAATACAGACTAGTAGTACTATGAAAGACACAGTCCGCTTTAGAAGATAGTTGTAAGTAATAATTGAATTATTATCGAGTATTTTATGTGAAAAAATATTTTATATTTAATCTTAGTAAACTTATTTTAAATTGTTTCATTAAAATAAAATAATATATTTTTGGATGTGTCGAATATATTTTCCCTATTACACTACTTAATTAATTCTTTTTGTGCTGTTTTTTATTACGATGCCACTGTAAGAGCGCGCCACCGACATAAAACGAGGGTTTACTGCATACAGTATCAACCATTCAGAAAATAAGGTAAAGTATTTTATTCATTATAAGACGATGCAATTTCCATGTGGTTTAACACCAAAGTTTATTTAATAGGTTTTATTATACTATATTTTTAATATTTGTTTTATTATACCTATATTTTTAATAATATTGCTTGTTAAATGCAAACATCACCAACTAACTTTATTTGCAACTGTTTGATCACCAGTTGGTTAACTAGACATCCGATTTGCATATTGCATTCATCATGATTAGCTTTATACACAAGTTTTATAAGCAATTTTAAATTAAAAAATGTTAATAAAATACTAAATATGACACTGTTTGGTACTTAAGTATTGTCCCATCGACAGTGAAATTTTTACCAAGCAGCACGATTTAGCTCCGATTATGGAAAAACAGGACATAACACACCACGACATCGGAGCTTTCGTTTAATTCAACTCCAATTAATTTTCGATAAGCTACGTTTGTTCTTATGAACAAAGATATTATTTTTTTTTTCATCTTAAAATAAAGGATTAAAATTTGGAACCTATCTGCTACAGAACAGAAAACAGTGAATTAATTTCGAAGATACGGGATCCTAGCATAAAAAATAGTGTACATAAATGGACACGACATGGACGACAAAACAGTGATAGGCTAGGACTATTAACGGCGGAAAGTTTCTGCTTATAGGTGTTTTAAACAAAGCTTTTGATAGAACAGAAGGAAGTAACAAAAAAGTAAAAATCGACAAAAGCCTTTTTATGAAGCAGATCGAAGAATGATTGTTTATTAAAGAAATAGGTTTCAGTTCCTTCAGAACTCCGCAGGAACGTTTGTTTTAGGTTTATTTACTTACAGTAAAGTTTTGAGGGCTATCTTCCTAAGAAAAGGGATGCCTTAGTGGAGTACTTTCTAAAGAAAACTGACTCGAATCCACGTTAGACATTTTAACCACGAAAACGTTTATGCATACCGTTCGCCTGGAATCGTATTCGCGTCAAACTTGCCACTGTTCATCGACTTGACCGCTCAGCCACTGGTTAGCCCCGCAGAAACGAGTGATGGGCACTTAGTGGAAACTACGCTCACTTTCATGGTTCGATGGTATCCAACTTATAATGTCGATGGGATAAAACGCAAGTACCTAATATTCTGTTTTTTAGGTTTCTCTTTAAAGTTAACTTACAGGAAGCTTATTAATTTTTCTACTTTTATCCTGGTGTCGATATATTTCCGTTCTGTATTTCATCAAAAACCGTAATGCAGTTGGTGAAGTAAATATTGATCAAATTTTGCCTAGATGGTAACATATTTACCAAGTTTATAGGAAGGTCTTCTGTAATCTATTGTAGAGTATAAAAGGAAATGAAAAAAAAGGCCAGAGAAAGTTTAATCTTCTGCGTTATTAATTTAGTCCTCAGAGGTACTATGAATAACAAATATATTGTGATCAGAGTTTAAACATCTTGGGCAGAGTCTTAAAGATATTTAAAGCTATTACTTATGTTTACTCGAACAAAAAATAACAAATAGATGAAAGTATGTAAGAGCGAAGCAAAGTCAAACAATTAAGTAGAAACACCAAGTGCGCTAATAGGTGCAATAAAATAATGCAATATTCATAAAAAATAACTCCAAAAATAAAAAATAAAAAGTGCCAGAATTCAGTAACAGAAGCATAAAATTCAAGACTTGGAAACATGAAAAGCGTTTAAAATGGTTTTGAGATCCAAATATTGCACTTATGTTCAGCAAATCCTATTTATTTTAATTATTATTTCGCTTCATTCACTCTTTCATTTTGTCATGTTTGGTTTATTTTGTCATGGTTTTAATTAATCTGCCTGCTGGCATTTTCTTTCTCTTCTTACATCAAACTTACTATTGCAATAAAGAGATATTCGGGAGTTCTTGTTTTCTATAATTTTATGCTTTGTAGATAGGTTTATACACTCGTCTTGATGTAGCAAAGAAAAATAAGAGGAAATTATGAAGAAAAAAAACGTGATGAACGTATGGAATAAATAATAATAAAATTCTGTAAGCATCGCTTTCCATTGATGGAAAGTAACATTATCCTAATATATTCAGGTGACTTAATGAACAAGGTAAAATAAATAAATAACATGACTCATTCTACTCATTTTTCTCACAAATATCTTGAAAACAAAAGTAAAAATATACTAACATCTTTTGTTTAAAGTAAGATAAATATTTCAATGTATAATAAGAAGAAAATGCTGTAATATAGACATTAATATCTATGACTCATGAGAAAATATGCGAAGTATAAATACCTTCAATACTGTACTTAACTGATGTAGAAGGCTGATAAGCCGTTTGCGTTTGCGTCGTTACCGAGGATTGTTCTTTATGTGTAGTTGTTAGAACCGTATTTTCTACAACTCCTTGCACAGTTGTTTGTATGGGGTAAATGCCTGGTAACGGAGAAGTTCCCGATCGACTGGTAGACATCATTTGGATGGAACTTAAGCTACCACATTGTCCGCTTTCCAGCTGTGCCGGTATCTGAATAAAATTCAAGTATTTAACAATATCGACTTCAGATTTTGAAGTATAATATGTAATTAATGAAAGATTGAAACTAAGTCTTCATTCAGCTTTTCATAAGTGTTTTTTCTTCAAAATGTTCATAGTACTCCCATTTGAAAACCACTCGCTTGAAACAGAAATTTCAACGAGTAAAGTGAAATTTAACGTATCAGTATATTAGTTTATCGTACAGAACAAAATACTTGTAATATATTTATAATATAATATTTTATATTTGATGCAATTAAGCTAAATATGCACTTAATATAATATATTGTATATTTGTTTCGAAATTTAAGCGATTTTTCTTTAGTATTTAGAAAACCTACTTGATTATTACAAACAAATCAAAACTTTCTTTTGATTTGTTTTGGAGATTAATTAGATAAGATTTTAAATTTGAGCACAATAAAAATAGAAATCTATACATTTAACATATTGCAGTATCATTATGATGCTGAAAACAAGTTATAAATGTGCGCAAAAATATCTGCCTTTATTAAAAGGTTATCACTCAGAAAATGCTTGCTTTTTGCCAGGATGAAAAATAAAAAACCAACAGTCTGCATGTATATGGCTTCAGAGCAATAGGTGAAAGTAGATAACGATACATTTTAACTATGCTGATAATGGTGTTGGATTATTTTTTAACTACACGGATAACGAAGATGAATTATTTTGTCTTCTCGTAAAATTTTATATTATGTCTTAATTAAAATTATTTCTCACTTAACAGCTCAATTAATCAAGAAAATAAAAAGTGAGAGCTATACTTAGTTATTGTCTTTGGATTTAACAGTCATTTCAAAAAGATTAATTGAAGGCAGGTATTTCATCAATTTTGTTTAGTTTTTACTCGAGCACCGTTTTTTACGTCTTTTAATTAAGCTTAAGATAATACATTGATCTCGTAGAGAGTTAAACTTTCTCTCCATACTGGAGCAGTCCTGAACCTTCAAGAGCGAGATCAAAGTTTTTTATCGAAGATCAAATCATCTTAAAAACTTTTCACGTGTTAACGAGTTTTTGTGTTAGTGTTTACCTTATGTGTTCTTAAAATGAAGTTGGGATGTGGATGGATGATTAAGTGATTTAATTCAGAGAAGAGACTTCGAGACTTCAAAGGTTTCTCCTTCCTATGACTATATCAATATAGGTTTCGACTCTTTGTAGTGAAACCGCATTTATAACGATGTGATTGGGATAGTAAAATATAAATAAATATTAGAACTTATATGTTACATACTAATTAATCGTAAAAACAATTGAAGCTTAGTTTCAATCTAAGGATTTCATTTCCTTTTCCTTTCCATATTAAATTCATACAGATTTAACAAAGCTGACATTATCATTCATTTACTAAGCGCATTATCAAGGCTTCATATTTCCTTTTCTAATCACATTAACCACAATTATTATTTTTCTACTAAGTTTAAACAATATTTCGAAGTTTATCACAAATGAAAGTTTTTCAACATCAATATAATATACAGCACTTTTGGAAAAATGTTGCTTTGAGTCAAACCTACACTTTCTTCTACAGCTTATATTCACGTTGCTGGGTATATTACGTTGCTCGGTTACAATTAAATAGCTGTCATGGATCATAAGTTTATGTATAAGCTTTTAATCCAGAAGAGTTTGAAACATTTACACAAAATAAATGGTAGTCTATTGGAAAAATAATGTAAAACACTTTCTGCTTACAATAATGCGATATAGTGATACTCAAATTTTGAATTTAATAATCTTTATGTAAAGCAAGATCTACCTTGATACTGTCTTTTGTAAAATAATCACCACTGACTGCTACACATTTACTTCAGCGTATATACTACTCATGAAATATATGCTGGAATCCATCTTTCGATATCGTCTTTGAAACTATTTCCTCCTTCTAAACAGAAACTTTGGCTGCCAAGTTGCGACTTCAGACAAGAGTAAAAAATCTCACTGAGTTAGGTCAGTGCTGGGTTGGAAGTTTCTACACACATTCGATTATTTTTCGAGAAAAATATTGGACAAAAATACTGGAAACATGAGTCTGTGCTTTATCCTGATGCAAGTACCAACTAGATGCTTGCAGCTCAGGTACGGTTAGGGTCTTCAAAAGTTTCACGTAATACCAGCCATAACAGTTATATATTAAGGCATTACATGCTTGTAAACCAGTCAATGACAGTCAGAGAAAGAAATAACTTACTTTTCAGCTCTGACTTTCCTTGAAGTGAGATAACTTGGTGATGTCCAAGTTATGTTTGCTAATTTGCTTTCAGAGCCCTTGCGATATAGCCAAGATTCATCAACATGTTTAATTTTAAGTATGCCTCACTTTTCTCAACTACTAGCCTTTGAAGTGTCTAACACACACACACACATCTAATACGCACTTGATTCTGTTCAGAAGAACAATCTCTGCACTTTTCTGCCAAAAATCTCTCTTGTGTGGGGAATGGTGAATGCCCTACCATGAAAAGTGTATACTATCTCAGTCAGTCCACCCACTAGTACTTAGAGATATTCTTGAACAATGACAGCAGTTGTGTTTACTACAATATCGTTCACTGCATTAGCAGGAGAAGTAAAACTTTGCTTTGCAAACGAAACATGCCATTTTTTAAAGAGTTTAAACTGCTGTCAATTGCCGTAAAATTCCTTACCATGTATTTATTGCAACATTTCATACTTCTGTAGTGGATTTCTGCAAGTGAACCAAAATTTCAAGGCTGCAAACTGCTTAACTCGAACTGGCTCCATTTTCCATAAGCGAAAAAGAGATTATCATGTTTTCTCATTCGATTCAAATGTAACTCCAGGTTTAATTACAATTTTTTTCTCTAAACAGACAACTGAATTACTCATTCATATTTATTTAGCTACCGTATATCGTTTATGTATTAAAAAATAAATTCATTATCAGTCTCTTTTGACTTGCTTGAGCACAAGTGCTTCACTAAGTAAAATGTTTTTAAAATTATTGTAAAACAAAAATTTTATTCTCTTTAAACACAAACTACTTAAAGAATGAAATGAAAATTTAGATTTGTGCAGTATGAAATATTATTACACTTTTAAACAATGTAATACCATAGTTATAAATAAATTTAAATATCAGCTGAGTTTAAAATGTAAAAGTTTCATAATTTCTATGTAACAATATTCATTTAAATTTATTGTAGTTGTTAAATTTTAAATAATAATGGTACTTATTAACTATAAAATAAATGTCATACTCAGTCAGAAAATATATTCAGAAATGGTTTTGCAGCTCTAGGCCAAGTTTTCAAAATTTTAAGTTGTAGATTGTTAAAATATTAACATCTTTCTACGTTTCTACCGTTCTTAATTCAAAGACCTTCAGAACGTATAAAACTAACAAGCCAGTTATCGCTCCATCTGAAAATGTATACCGAAGTCTTATAAAGAATTTAAATAAGTATTTTTATTTAAGTTTGAAATTAACAGGAAAGACAGTTTCAGTGTACACTCAAAACTTCAGCTCTTGCAGGTATTAAAATAATATAAAGTTTAATTTACAGTTTAACACTTTGTTTGAGGCACACCAGTATTCGGAAGACGGCAAAAATTATGATCAGGCTGCGTCACCCATATTCGAGGGACAGTTCTTTGCGTACTTATAAGATAAACTATTTATTTAAAAAATAATTATTTATAGAAACGAAAATGATTTTTACCGACAGCTAAATTCATTCCGTCCACTAAACTGAATTGTGCTTTCTTCGGTATCAAATTTTCTTTCTTCTTAAACAACCAATCTTTGTAAATATGATCAGTAGTGTCTACACTACATTCATCAGTATTCGAATCAGAGACTGAAGATATAATTTTGTTCATAATTATTTTTCTGAAAAATCTTGACTGTTCCTCATCGCTAATGTTCGAATTTTTGTAAGCCTTGCAACAGGTTTCTTCTTCACTGTTATATGACTCACTCAAAAATTACATTAATTTTCTATCAGAAATTGCAAAAAGTTGGACTAACAATTTTAACACGAAAAAAATTTAAGATTTTTCACTACTAAAAAAATATTTGGAAAAGAAGAAATAATTTTCGAATCTCACACCCTTTCTTAGATACTTCGTTCTTAAGAAAAGATTTAAAATAAATGCATCTACCAAAACGCTTCGTTCAATTGGAGCATGGTTTAGCAGAGCTCGTGGTCTAAAGGAGATTCATACAAATTCGCGTGGCAGTCAAGGTGCTAAAAAGGGATCGTAGCCCCAGACTGTATAAATTTGGCTTAACTAAGCTGACTCAGCTTTAGTGGGGCCATTTAACTTCGGCTAGCACCAATACCGTAAAGTTAACGTAGAGACATAGGCAATAGAAAGTAAAGCTGCGAAAGTCACAGTCAAAAACTGTACACCTAAAACATTGAAAAATCTCGCCTTAAATACTCTTAACTCATCTGCAGCCAGGTGAGGGCTAACGAAAAGGAAAATTTACAGTAAAGATCCAAATCATAAAAAGTAGTTAATTAACATAAAGCTCCTTATAACTTTTTAAATAAAAGGAATCTGCCTTACTTGTTCTGTTTCTTGGGGTATAGGCTGAATGTTCCAAGAAATTTTAGACTGGCTTCTTTGCAGAGCTTGTATTTCCAAACTAAGTTCTTCTCGAAGTACACTCTCTAGGTCACACTTTTTACCCAGCTCACGTATTTCGGACTGAAATAGAAATGTTACATCTTAAGTGTGGAAGATATATTATTATTTACTCTTATATGAAACATTTTTAGAAACACATGTTTATGGCTACTGCTTATGCTTGAAATTCATTTGAATGTATTTATAAGGCTTGAACTTTTATTTTCCATCCATTTTATTGAATAAAAATATCATGCAATTTGAATCATTGAACTTATAACATTAAGAATACTTTTATCTTGAGTCTATAGTCATGTAAATAATAAAATCTGAATCTTTTTGTTTACATGCACACAATTGCATACGTATTTACCTGCGTATGCTCTTCACATGTTCACTGATTTGTGTAGGGCGATTCAACTTCAGTCATTACCGTAATGCGTGTTTTATCACAAGCTTTAAGATACACATACCGCTTTCTGGACCATCAAAAGAGAGAGAGTCAGACAGAGATTCTGTATTTAGAGGTTTTATATAGGAATCAAAGATGTACTTTTTTATCATGCGCTTAAGTTTTCTCAGAGGATTTATTTATTAATTGTGTGCAACAGGTAAGAATTAAAGTAGACTTTCGCTGAGTTAAAAATTATCACATTTGAAGGTGTGTTAACAGTTTTAACATTAAATTTTAAGTAAGCACTCAAAGTCAACAATCCTGAATAGTTTTGCAGTTCGGTAATGTATGATATAACGCATTAGAATGAGTCTTCTGCAGTAAAGACATACTTTATTCAGCTGAAAACTTGTTTTTACGATTTCAGACTTTGTCTGTTGCTTAAATATTATGTGTTCTGACTTCCTTAAATCTTAGCCGATGATTTCAAATTTTTCATGTTGTGCTTGAGTGATAAATGCATTTCGATTATTCATTTATTCATGCATTATTCATTTTAAAATGTTTTAGAAGATTGCATAAGGCAATAAGAATTCTACATAGATTCGATTTCTGAAAGCTGAATAAAATGGATACCTGGAATGAGATGGGTTTAATTTTCCCCATGTATTAGTGCGTCATACAATGCACATACTGTGAGAAAATGTCTCTTTAAAAATCCCTAACAAGTCATTATTCTCTTTAGACACATTACTAACAATTAAAAGCTAAATTGTCTCGTCATACAAACTTTTGTTTTGAAATTACACAAACTTTTGAACTATATACCCATTACTATCTCTCAACTGAGTCTCAATGAGAGGCTTACGCACTAATCCCTTCTCAAAGCAAGGCAGACAATTTCTCCTTAATACAAAAAATAGTCTTCTCCTTGTAAATTAAATTCGGGATTTTGAACTTTCTACTAGTCTAGACCATTTTCCCATGAAGATATCGTCAATCTCCAATTATTTTCCTCATAAACACCATCTGGTGAAAATCAAAGGAACCAGAGTGAGCTGCAAGAAAGGAGCTCTGGTTCTTTCCTGCAGCCTCCAAAAAGATTTACTAAAGAAACTACAAAAGTTTCTCATTTTAATTAAGCTGTATGGTCTTTCGTCTGTATAGTCTTCTGTTTAGATTAAATACATGCATACATTTAAAGAAGAGACCAAACATATTTCTTCAAAATGTTTGATCAAATTGTTGTTACACAACGGTACTGGTTATCAATTAATCTCATTCTTGATTCGTCGAATTCGTTGTTCAGCAGCCTAAAGTACAGTTTATTGAATACATATCCGTGATGACAAATATTTCTATTTCTATGACCTTATTTTATCCTCAAAAACAAATCATTGCAAATTATGCTTGAGATAACTTGTGTTATCCTTAAACAAAAGCTGTAGAAATAAACCATATCAAAATTATGTTTTTATCACCAGAAGACGGGCATTATTGCCCCTAAAAGGAGCTGAAATTTGCTAGTAATAGAATTATGAAGCTTACATGTACAAAATAGCAGTTACATTTCTCACTGATAAACACTTCCCCTTAACAATGAATAAATTGGATATTCTAAATACATAATACTTTCGTAGTCGATAAGATTATATATTTAATTTTAAAAGTAATACATAACAAATATATCGATCGCTATATTTTGTAGATAATGAATATGAATCAAATTTTTAGACTCATTTCCATATATTTATTAAAAATATAAAGCATAATTAGATAAATTCTGAAATAATGACCAATAGAAATCAGGTTTTTTTAAAATTTAATTTTCATAAGGTTATTCTAATCACTAGAATTGAAATAAACATTAAAGGTTTTAATCAGCTAAGTAGCTGAAAGTTAAGCACCATGAAAGGTTTTTATTGGATTAAAACAGAAGCTTAGCAAATACTAAGGTTTAAACTGTTAAATTATATAAATGTCATCCTACTCGCATAAAAAACATTTCGCTAAAAGTAACAGCTTAAATAAGGCAAATACGAAAGTTATATGTAGGTTCGTTGAAACCAGCACTTCACAAAAGTCAGCATACAATTGACTGGCTCTTAACTAAATTCGCATATGTGGTTGTTCTTTTTCCTTTTGGACTTATAAAGACATCTCAAATACGCATGAAAGTCATAATCTTGATTTTTTCTGCAGGTGATCGTAGTTTGAAAAAACGAATCCAAAGAAAGAATTTTTTTTAGCTGCGAGAAATTTTATAATAAAATTAAGGCATGATAAGAAATCTTGTGTGGAAACATCTAAACTTATTGGGAAAGGTCTTGAAACTATACAGACCATAATTAAATATTACATATCAAGGAGAAACTTGCTCAATATACCTCGAAGTGTCATTCAAAGAAAGTTAGACATCGTGATGCAGGAACTTTTGTAAGAAAAGTAAAAAAATATCCAAAAATAAGTACTCCAAAATTAACCGAATATCTTACGACGGCAACAGGAAAAAAGTCAATTCAGAATTGTGCATGGAATTCTTCTATAAGAGGTATGTAATGGCAGAGCTTCTAGAAAAAAAAAAAAAAAAACCTCCTGTTTCACCTCAAAATTGACAAAGACGACTAGATTTTGCAAATTTATAACTAAATAAAGACTTTAAGACAGTGCTTTTTACTAAAGAAAATAAACTGAATTTTTTCGAAAGCGATGATCGTTTAAAGATTTGGTGACGGAGAAATAAAGAAATGAAACCAAAAATTTTAAAAACCAGCTATTAAACTTTGTGGAAGGATTATAATGATTTGGGGATCAATGGTAGCTGAGGGAATTCGTAAATTAGTTTTCAAGGATTTCGCTATGAATCGATTAATGTATCTGAAAATATTGCAAAATAACCTGCAATCCCATGTTGAAAAACTGGAACTAGGAAGCAGCTGCGTTTTTTAATGTACTGCTAAGGTTGCCAAAGAATGGCTTCTCTTTAAAGTACCGAGTCAACTGCATTCACCACTCAAGTCGCCAGACTTCTTGTAGAATATATATGAAATGAACTTAATCGTCGAATACGCTAGTATATTATTACAAGCAAAGAAACTCTGAAGGCAGCAATTGAACGAACACGGTCTGAAATTAACCAGATACGACAACAAATCTAGTTCGGACAGATTACGGGCAGTGATAGACGCGCACGGTATTTTGATTCATTTGATAAGAGTAAATGAAGCATTTCTGTATTTACACGTTTGTGACATGTATAGTATCGATTTTTGCAATATTTTATTGAAACTCAACGAATTATGGTTTATTTTCTTGATTAAACCCAAATTTATTCATTTATTTATTTTTAAAATATCAGTATAAGTAAAGGTGTTTTGATGACTGTATGCAAACTTTTGTGACTGTGTGTATATCATGGCAAAGCAATCTACGGGTAGTTACTTTCAGGAACAGAAGCCTTCGTGGAACGTTTTCCACGAGAAACTAATTTATATGCACGTTGTACATGGGAAAAATCTATGAAAACTCTTATGTAATAGCTTTCCATCAGCATTTCAGCTGGGTTTAGTCTACAAATATGCAGCTACTTGACAGCTCGGCCTCTTGTTCTACAAAAGATTTTAATTGAAGAGTAAAGAGGCTTGTAGAGTCAATAGGATTTTTTTAAGCAGGAAACGTGAAAAATGAAAAAAGTCCTCTCCGGGACTCAGAATGCGCGCCAAGTGTTACACTACGAAGGATGCTGAATACCATTACACTACGAAGGATGCTGGAAGGGATAACATACTTTATATACTTCCCCTTTTTAAAGGACGACTGAGAATTGCGGTACCTAATCGCCAAATCCTGGTGCGAATTGTCGACCATCACATTTTAGTTCGGGCCGTACTGTAGGGTCATTAGGTTTTCTTTGAAATAACAGATACGAAAAATGAGCAATGCCATTGCCAGAACTCGAATACGCCCCGAGTGTACTACCGTTGCACCACGATGGCATGCTGGAAGGAAGGAGAAAATACCTTATAAACTTTATTGCGTCTTTTGTTCATATCACTATACATTGATTTAAGATATTATTTTATACACAGTTTAAACAAAGCTTTTTGAATGAATGGTCGTATTTTCTTTTACTTCATTAATTATAATTTTTTTAAGTCATTGGAAATGATACCTTGTCAATCATTTAGAAGAAAATGTATTTCCTTTTTAAAAGGTATTAGTTCGTTTTTGTAGAAACTTTGTAGAAATTTTAATAGCAATGAAAGTAATTTTGTTCAGTTATTTTCCCACTGAATTTTAATGACATTTTAAAGTTACTTTTTAGCATCATCGATAACTTTTTAATTATATCTTTATAAAACAACTTTTGACATGAAATGCTTTTTAAAAATTCCGTAAAAAATGGTTGTTGTACGTTATTTTTGATCATCATATTAACAAACAGCCATCGATATTATATTGTTTAATATATGAATGCAATTACCAGGAAGCAGATTGAAAAAAAGTACGAAACCACATTAATGAGATAAACATAAATGATCGATGCGTTCTAAATGTATTATGCAGTCAGAATTTCGGATTTGTTAAAAATACAAAATCAAATTTAAGAAATTACTTATGATTCATAGATTTAATAATACTTTTAGTTTTATTGGGAAGTAATTATACACGACTCTCACATATCGCT